AGGGTGACCAGCACGGTGACACCGATCAGCGACACGGTGGCCGGGGCCGTGAAGAGCTGCCGGTAGTTGATGCGGAAATACCAGCCCAGCGCCAGCACCACCATCACCGTGGGCACCATCAGCGTGCCCCCGGCCAGCGGCAGCCCCGGGGCGGCGGGGCCGGCGGGGCCGGGCTCGGGCAGGGCGGCGGTGGCCGCGGTGGTCCCCCGGGAGCGGTGGCAGTGGATGACACAGTTGTCGGTGATGCGGAGCGAGCGCAGCGTGCGCGCCTGGTCCTGCAGCAGCTGCCCGCGGTAGATGAGCTTCATCTGGGCCTCCTGGCCCGGGAAGCATTTGCTGCGGGAGGAGGGAGGAGGGTGGGGGCGGCGGAGACCCCGGACCCGCCCGGGGAGGGACCCGCCCGGGCTGGGAGTCCCCCGGACCCACCCGGGCTGGGAGCCCCTCCGTTAAACGGGGAGGGTTCACCACGGCACCGCCACCGCCGCCTCTTTCGAACTTGCTGTCTCAAAGCCCACACCCCCCGGTATTTTTGGCACATCGGGAGGGATGAACGCCCTCCCCCGTCCCGTGGGAAGCGGCTGTTCGCAGCGGGGGCCCGGCAGCGCTCCCCGCGTTCCCCGGCCCTCACCTCTTGAGAACCCCCACGGTGTCCTCGGGCCGGGCCACCGCCACCTCCTCGGTGTCGTTGAGGAACTTGAGGCGGATCTTGATGAGGCCGGGGCACGCGTCCCCGGTGCCCCCGGGCTCAGCGGCGCCCCGGGACAAGCCGGGCGCGTCCAGCAGCTGCTCCAGGCCGGGCTCGGGGCCGCTCCCGCTGTCCCCCGGTGCCGCCGCCCCTTCCTCCTCCGTTTTCTCCTCCGCGCCCGCGGGGCTCCTGGGGGGCTCCGGGGCCTCGGCCGCCCCCGCGGGCCCCGCGTAGGGCGGCAGCGGCCCGAGGCGGATGACGGCCGCGTCCCCGGTGCCCAGGAGCTGGCTGCCGCCCTCGGCCACGTACGTGGACAGCCAGGCCAGCACCAGCGCCAGCACCAGCACGGCCACCCCGGCCACCAGCGTCACCTCGTCCCCCACCCCCACGATGAGGGGGGCGGCCGGGGGCTCCATCTCCGCGATGCCCGCCTCGACCTCCCGGTGCCCGGTGTGAGCGAGCGGCGCGGCGGCAGCGGGGACCCCCGGGGCTGCCCCGGTGCCACCTTCGGGCTCACAACAGACCCTGGGGCCGCTCCCGGTACCCGGAGACCGCAGGGACGGGAGCTCCTCGCTGCGGATTGTCCTCCTCGCTCCCGAGACACCGAACCGGCGGCGCTGCGCTCACCTCACCGGGCCCGGCGGAGAGTCCCGGGGGT